AAAAAAAAAAAAAAAATCACAATAATTGGCCAGGCACAGTGGCTCCCACCTGTAATCCCAACACTTTAGGAGGCTGAGGAGGGCAGATAACTTGAGGTCTGGAGTTTGAGACAAGCCTGGACAACATAGCAAGGCCTTGTGTCTACCAAAAATTTAAAAGTTAGTCAAGCATGGTGGCACATGCCTATAGTCCTAGCTACACAAGAGGTTGAAGCAAGAGGACTGCTTGAGCCCAGAAGGTGGAGGCTGCAGTGAGCCAACTTCATGCTACTGCACTCCAGGCTGGGCAACAGAGTGACAGTGTCTCAAAAAAAACAAACAAACACACGAAAACACACACACACACACACACACACACACACACACACACACACACACTCCTACAATCTCTAAGGGAAAGAAACTGCATGCTAGATAGCAAAATGCTAATATTGTTTCATCTAGGCATAGGATAAATGAGAGTTCATTATTCTTTCAACTTTTCTGAATGTTTTAATTTTTTATAAGAAAATGTTATAGGAAAATGAAACTCGTGCATTGCTCTGCTGACGATTACAAGCACCCATAATAATAATATTGCGACTGTCAACTAATTAACATAGAAAATTGTCTAAAATATTGGATAACACATGATCAAGAGTTATCAAATCATATTGCCACAATAATACTAAGTCCATATAGATTTTCTAAGCAGAGTTTTGGTTTTCATACAACCTGTTTTTGGTTAGCCTAGTTGATAAAGGAGTCATACTTTTTGAAGCTCTCATGTATCCAGCTGATTGCCTTGTACAATACTTTGGAAATGTTTCTATAAACTATACTCATTATATTAGCAATCATGGCCACCAAGGCCTAAATAGAGAGGGGGTTTTTTGCTACTCTTAAAGTCAGAAGAGAAATCTATACCAGAAATACAAAAGACTAGGGAAAAAATAATTTTCCTTTAGATAGTAAGATTCATAACTTATGAATTGTATAACTACCTAAAAGCAATTGGATGGCCATGGTGGTTCACGCCTGTAATCCCAGCATTTTGGGTGGCCGAGGCGGGCCGATCGCTTAAGGCCAGGAGTTTGAGACCAGCCTGGCCAATATGGTAAAACCCTTGCCTACTAAAAATACAAAAGTTAGCCAGCTGTAGTAGCACACACCCAATCCCAGCTACTCAGGAGGCTGAGGCAGGACAATCACTTGAACTCAGGAGGTAGAGACTGCAGTGAGCTGAGATTGTGCCACTGCACTCCAGCCTGGGTGGCAGAGTGAAGCTGTATCCAAAAATAAAATAAAATAAAATAAAATAAAATAAAACAAAACAAAAAATAAAAGCAATAGATATAAATAATGTCCCCAGACAACCTATTTATATTTAATGAGTTTAAATGTACTTAAAATTGTTAAAAATATTTACAAATCAGACCTGAAGAGAAGTCAAGCCTAGAATGAAACATAATTTCAAACTGTTACAAACTGATAAAGGACAGAATAGGAAGGAAGTAACAACGATTCATTTATTTTGCTCAGAATTATAAATCTAGCCCTAAATTATCCATAGGTATACCAATGCCTTAGTAGCAAGAGTTATGAATCCCACTAACACTGCCCTATTGAGAATCCCTGATAGAAATGTAGTGGGCCGGGCATGGTGGCTCATGCCTGTGATCCCAGCACTTTGGGAGGCTGAGGCGGGTAGATCACGAGGTCAGGAATTGAAGACCAGCTTGGCCAAGATGGTGAAACCCGTCTCTACTAAAAATACAAAAAATCAGCCGGGCGTGGTGTCACGAGCCTGTAATCCCAGCTACTAGGGAGTCTGAGGCAGAGAATTGTTTAAACCTGCAAGGCTTTAAACAAGGAGGTTGCAGTGAGCCAAGATCGCACCACTGCACTCCAGCCTGGGCAACAGAGTGTGACTCCATCTCAAGAAAAAAAGAAAGAAAGAAATGTGAAGTATTCAATCAAACCTGAAACCTCAACTACTCAGCATAAATTACCAGAATGCTGTGAAATGGAAACAAAGAACCAAGACTATGAACACTGAAGGTAGAACCAAGAAACACAAGACACAAAGAGAAGTACTACAGATAGAACAAGCTCCCAGATTAAAAAATAATAATAACAATAACGAATGAGGGGAAGATTTTTTTAAAGGGGGCCTGAAAATAAAGACAATGAGAGTTGGCTCCAAGGTGAGGGTAGTCACTGTAGGAAAACAGAAGAGGTCAACAATAGTAGAGAACAATTTAGAAAAATCAAACCCAGTTTCAAAAGAAAAACTAAAACGAACAAACCTAAATTATGCTACAGGAAAGATACAGAAAACCGAGGTGGTAAAATCAGGATGATTTTCAAGACTTGGGTTCAAAATATATGTAGCAAATGAAAATTCTAAATTGGCTGCATTGATCCAGCAGAACCAAAAAAAGGATGGTCCCTGATTCTGTTCTTAATAATTAAAGATTATCTTTCATTGACCAAGATAGAGAACTGAAAGCAGCAGCAGAGCAATCGAAGCTAAGTTGACGCTTTGGTAAAAAGCAAAGTTTGAGGCCGGGCGCAGTGGCTCATGCCTGTAATCCCAGCAGTTTGGGAGGCTGAGGCAGGCGATCACCTGACATTAGGAGTTCAAGACCAGCCTGACCAATATGGTGAAACCCCATCTCTACTAAACATACAAAAATCAGCCAGGTGTGGTGGCGTGTGCCTGTAGTCCCAGCTACTCGGGAGGCTGAGACAGGAGAATTTCTTGAACCCAGGAGGCAGAGGTTGCAGTGAGCCAAGATCTTGTCACTGCACTCCAGCCTGGGTAATAGAGCAAGACTCTGTCTCAAAATACATACATACATACGTAAGTAAAAAAGTACAAAATAAAGTTTGAGACTTGGTTCTCTAACCAAATAGCCATAAATTGTTCACAATTGGCCCTTGAACAACAGGGGTTTGAACTGTGCAAGTCCACCCCAGGCAGATTTTTTTCAACCAAACGTGGATGGAAAATACAGTATTCACCAGATGCAAAACCCATGCATACTGAGAGCCAATTTTTTGTGTAAGCAGGTTCCATAGGGCCGACTGTGGGACTTGAATATTCACAGATTTTGGTATACGTGGAGGTTCTAGTAGAACCAATCCCCTGAATACGGAAGAATACTGTATATCTATTAGATTCAACTGTAAACCTTAACTAGTATGGCAAACAAGTTTTATCCCACATGATGAATCCAACATCAGGAGCATAGAAAATAACAACAGCTAAAACGTAATGAGTGCTGACTGTGGCAAGCACTCATCTATACATTTTATAGAGACTAACTCAATTCTAACAACAACCTTAGTAGGAACTATTAGGCTGGGCGCAGTGGCTCACACCTGTAAATCCTAGCACTTTGGGAAGCTAAGATAGGCAGATCACTTGAGGTCAGGAGTTCAAGACCAGCCTGGCCAACAGGATGAAACCCCATCTCTACTAAAAATACAAAAATTAGCCAGGCATGGTAGTGCATGCCTGTAATTCCAGCTACTCTGGAGGCTGAGGCAAGAAAATTGGTTGAACCCAGGAGGGGGAGGTTGCACTGAGCCAAGATCATGCCATTGCCCTCCAGCCTGGGCAACAGAGAGAGACTCTGTATAAAAAAAAAAAAAAAAAAATGGCTGGGCACAGTGGCTCACGCCTGTAATCCCAGCACTTTGGGTGGCTGAGGCAGGCGGATCACCTGAGGTTGGAAGTTTGAGACCAGCCTGGCCAACATGGTGAAACCCTATCTCTACTAATGATACAAAACTTAGCTGGGCATGATAGCACACACCTCTAATCCCAGCTACTCGGGAGGCTGAAGCAGGAGAATCGCTTGAACCTGGGAGACAGAGGTTGCAGTGAGCTGAGATTGTGCCACTGCACTCCAGCCTGGGCAACAGAGTGAGACTCGGTAAGAAAGAAAAAAGAAAAAGAAAAAGAAAGAAAAAGAAAAAGAGAATAGAAGAGAAGAGAAGAAAAGAAAAGAAGGAAGGTAGGTATTATTATTGCCTCCAGTTTACTGATGAAGAAACTGAAGCACAAAGAAATTATGTAACTTGTCTGAGGTCATATAGTAGTACAGTAAGTACAGAAGGCAAGATTCAAATCACATGTAAAGGTATCCAACCTTAATTTAACCACTGTGCCTTCTAGCTACTCAAAGAAAGATGCTGAGATAGGTTTGGATATATTGGTTATCTAAGTAAGAGTTATAGAAAGATTGGACTCTCCAGTGATATGACCCACATCCAGATGTCAGCTTTTCCCCATATTAGCTGGTAATCGTGAAAAAGGAAACTCAATTCCCTTTTATGTAAATGAGATTTCAATACTTCATTTACAAGGCAAATTCTGAGGATTAGAGGAGATAATGTAAGCAAAGGGTCCAAGCCCAGGATTTGATGCAGAGTAGGCACTCAGTCAATGGTAGCTAGCACCATAATTACACACAATATACAAGAAGTTTAAGGCACACTACACTTACAAAGAAGTATACAAATCAAGATAAATACTTAAAAGGTATTTATTGCAAATGTACAGCTCATCCATAAAATTAAGCTTTAAAATACTTTTGCTCTGATGTTCCAATCCCTAATTATAACCTAGGTGGTGAGATGCCTTCTATATAGCATACTGTACCTCTTTGATGATTTTCACCCCTTTCGGATCCTTGATATTAACAGCAATACTCTAAAAATTAAAATATATATCTATTATTTTGGTGACCGGTACACAAGAAGCCCAAGCCCCACCATTATGCAGTGGCAAACATGCACATGTATTCCCTGAATCTAACATAAAAAGTAAAAAATAATAATAATAATAAGTATGTTAAAATGCTACCATAAAACATTTTCTTTTCTTTTTTGTTTTTCAGACAGAGTCTTGCTCTGTCACCCAGGCTGGAGTGCAGTGGCACAATCTTGGCTAACTGCAACCTCTGCCTTCAGGGTTCAAGCGATTCTCCTTCCTCAGTCTCCCCAGTCGCTGGGATTACAGGCACCCACCACCACGCCTCGCTAATTTTTGTATTTTTAGTAGAGATGGGGTTTTGGAGTTTCACCATGTTGGCCAGGCTTGTCTGAAACTCCTGACCTTAGGTAATCCGCCTGCCTTAGCCTTCTAAAGTGCTAGGATTACAGACATGAGCCACTGAGCCTGGTCATAAAAGTTCTTCTTATTGCTGACAAGAAAGCCATTCATATCATAGATCTTCTTAAATTTATTTTATGCATGAGGAAATATTTAAATCATCTTATTGATTCTATTTATCATGAGGATATATGCTAACAAGGATTATGGGAGAAGTTTTTCAATTATAATACCGAGTGTTAGACAATTATTCCCTAAAAGAATAACAAATGTAAGCCATCAAATGATTTTTCTCTTTCATAAAATTATTTCCATTATAAATTCTTATGAAATGTTCTAAGTTACTTGGTAGATAAGAAAGAGTAGTAAAAAGCTCATTGTTTCTACTCGGTGAATGGTAAATGAATGGAAGTTTAATTTATTTGAAATATTAGTTACATCTTTAAAAAAAATAAAAGGAAGAAAAAACAAGCCACAATGATATCATCAGTTTTGCTGTTACAAGAGAATTACACAAAAAAAGCAAAAAAGGGAATGATATTCTTACTTTTTTATTTCGGTTAACACTGAGATAATATGTACTTTCTGTCCCCACGAAAGGTGGCCCCCAAGTTCGCGTATCATCACCAGCTCCTGAAAATAATAATATGAGCTATTAGTCTTTGGGGGGTTTTTTGAGATGGAGTCTTGCTCTGTTGCCTAGGCTGGAGTGCAAAGGTGTGATCTCTGCTCACTGCAAACTCCACCTCCTGGGTTCAGGTAATTCTCCTGCCTCCAGCCACCGCAGTAGCAGGGATTACAGGGGTGCACCACCACGCCTGGCTAATTTGTGTATTTTTAGCAGAGATAGGGTTTCACCACGTTGGCCAGCTGGTCTCGAACTTCTGGCCTCAAGCAATCTACCCGCTTCAGACTCCCAAAATGCTGGGATTACAGATGTGGGATTACAAATCTAACACCATAAAAGATGGGGTATTTTATGATGGATATCTACTTCAAGTAATTCTGAACTGTATTCATGTCTGATTCAAAGACAACACTACGGAATTACAGAAAAAAATGTTTTCTTTGCACAAAAAGCAACTATCAGAGAGTACAGATAAAACTAATTACTACATAGGTAGTTAAAGTATTTATCACTAGACCTCCACAAAGAAAGAATTGTGAATGTGGGATAAAGTTTTAAACACAAATCATTTAAATGACATAACCAATTTGTTAGCCATTAGACTTTACCCATTAAACTTGAACAAGAAAAACAGATTTTTTTTCTTTTGAAAGGAAAAAAGCAAAAGCAACTCATTTACTTAAAACACACACACACAAGACAGACATAATTCACAGGATAGAGGATAAAAGAAGCTCCATAGGCCAAGTGTGGTGGCTCACCCACACCTGTAATATTAGCACTTTGGGAAGCTGAGGTTGAAGGATCATTTGAGCCCAGGAGTTCAAGACTAGCCTGTGCAACATAGAAAAACTCCATTTTTGCCCAAAAAAAAAAAAAAAAATTAGTAAGGCTGGGTGCAGTGGCTCACAGACAGAGACTATGTCTCAAAAAAAAAAAAAAAATTAGCCAGGCACAGTTACACACAACTATGGTCCCAGCTAAGGTAGGAAGATTGCTTGAGCCCGGGAGGTCATGGCTACAATAAGTCATGATCACACGATGGCATCCAGCTTGGATAACAGGAGCTCCATCTCAGAAAAATAAAATAAAACAAGCTGTTTATAGGATGATGTAGCAGACATTTAAAAACATGGACTGTGCCCTTTAAGTGCTTATTGGAGAGAAAGGGCACATAACAATGACACTTTCCTTTCTGAGATGGAGTTTGGCTCTTGTTGCCCAGGCTGGGGTACAACGATGTGGTCTCAGCTCACTGCAACCTCTGCCTCCCAGGTTCAAGCAATTCTCCTGCCTCAGCCTTTCAAGTAGTTGGGATTATAGGTGTCCACCACCACGCCCCACTAATTTTTGTACTTTTAGTAGAGATGGGGTTTCACCATGTTGGCCAGGTTGGTCTTGAACTCCTGACCTCAGGTGATCTGCCCACCTTGGCCTCCCAAAATGTTGGGACTACAGGCATAAGCCACCACACCTGACCAATAATGCTTTTCTAAGCAACTTTTTTCAGTGACAGCTTGAACTAAACACCAAAATGCTAAGATGATACCAAATAAAAGTGAGAATTTTGTACACAGAATATATTTATTTGGTGAACAAAGGAGGAAGAAAGAACAGGAAAGATGTCACAGGAAAAACATAAAAACAAAAAATTGATCTAAGCTTAGGTGTTTCTCCCTCCAAAATCTTTAAAATTATAAAATGGGGACATGTTTCTTGTATGGCCAGGAGTGGTAGGTCACACCTGTAATCCCAGCACTCTGAAAGGCTGAGACAGGAGTTTAAGACTAACCCAAACAACATAGCAAGACCCTGTCT